GGTGGTGGGAGTCATTTGCAGTGTTCAAGGACGCTCTAGCTTTGGTAGTCACAACATTGCGGTGGCCAGTTTCTCGCTAATTTTTACCTGTGACACGAGATCACGACTCTACCTTCTTGTATAGCAAGTATGTCGGCTTTCTGTTAAAGATAAATGGTCATTTTTAACAACCAAAAGCAAGAAAAATGAACAAGCTTTATGGTTATGGCAATAACTTTACGTGCCAAAAATTAGTCGAGCGCCTGGTTCCACTGCGCTGTGTCCTAGTTTCTTTCGCTCGCGTGAGAAGGACACTCTCGGGGTGAGCTCAACTAAATACATAGCAGCTGCCAACAAGTACGCAAATAACGTAAAATTTAATACATTTTTTTGAGGGTCTGAGTGCAAAGGTCCGTTTTCCTGTTGAAAAAAACCCCGATGTCAGTTTTTCTAGTAAATTGTTTGTCACATAGACTTGCCAATGCTGTGGATTGTTGGTCGCCTCAGAACTATTGTGACCAAAGTGCCTCTTTACATAAGTACACTTTGGGCAAATTTATAGTTCTGAGGCGACGAGTTTTGAACTTTGAGGACCGGAATTGCGAATGATAATGAGAAACACTGGCTTTCAATGTAAGCTTGTTCACTTTCGTCTGACCGCTTAAAGAAATTATGTTTTATAAATATACCTATGCCCGCAAAACATTGCATGGTGCTTCTCCAGGTCAGCGACCAAACAAACAAAAATATTTTCCCCCAAAATCTTGATCCAGTAATAAAAACGTTTTCTCTTTTGGTCTTATATTAAAAGCCGCTCTTTGGACGCATACACACGATCACTAAAATAAATGACTAGCAGTAACTTTGCCTTCAAATTGCTCAATTTGAGACAGCGAAACCACCCTGCCCCTTTCTTTCAGTGTTAACTTGTAGTTCGATTCCAGTGTTGGAAGAATTTGGTCGAGTATCCTAGCCTTTCTGTTGAGATGATGTATTGCTCCCAACCCAGACAGGCCTCCGGAATGATAATAATTGTGTTAATGGCTGTAAAAACAATGTTGCATAAAAAAAAGCTTAACATATAGCCCCCCCCCCCCCTCAAATGGCAAAGTTCGTATGTTGCTCTATATCGTCATGCAAGACATATTCTCCCGGCGCGGGCTGCCTAGTGGTCTTCTCTCTCTCTGTCTCTGTCTCTGTCTCTGTCTCTCTCTCTCTCTCTCTCTCTCTCTCTCTCTCTCTCTCTCTCTCTCTCTCTCTCTCTCTCTCTCTCTCTCTGCCCCTCCCCTTCCCACTCGCCTCCTCCTCATCTTCTCTTTTCTTCCCCTTTTCTCCTCTCCTTTCTTCCTCTTTCACGCTACCCTTTCTTCCCCTCTCCTCCTCCTTTTTCCCCCTTCTCTCACCCCCTTTTCTTCTGCTCTCTTCCTCCCTCTTCACCCGTGTGTTTCAAACTTTGGACAGGTGGTTTTGGAAAAGGCGGAATCTTGATCAAGGGAGTTAATTGATGTATTAATAGACATCTACTTTTTCTTCTTCTTCTTGTCTCCCCTTTCCTATTTCTTCCCCTTTCTGATCTCCAGTTCGTTGTTTCTTTGGTCCTGGAAATGGCAGCCCACAGAATTGTTTCGTTTGTATGATTGTTAGCGTTTTCGCTGGATGATCTGTTTTGGCCATCTCAATTTCAGCCCTAAGCACCCCCCCCCCATTTTTTTCTTTAAAAAAAAGTCTTCAATGGGGAAAGAAAGCATTAAAATCTCAACAAAAACAAGGACGATAAAGTCAATGCAAGGAAGAAGAAGAAGAACAGATAGGAAAAAAACACAAACAAACAACAACAACCCCTCCTCCCCCCAAAAAACCCCCAAAAAAACAAAAAAACAATAAAAACAGACAAAACTGAACAAACAAATGAACAAAACAGTAACAAACAAAACAAGCTAACGAGCGTACAAACATTCGAATGAAGAACAGTGAATCCAAAATAACCATCCAACCCCTCCCCCGCTCCTTCCCCTGAGCTTCATAAAGCTTCTGCTCTTTATAAGAAAAAAAGTTTTCTTTCCCCACGCACTCACGCTCACACATACGCACGCACACTCTCAGGCCCGTTCTCTCTCTCTTTCTCTCTCTCTCTCTCTCTCTCTGTCTCTCTCTCTCTCTTTCTCTCTCTCGCTCCCTCTCTCGCTCTCTCTCTCTCTCCCTCCTTCTCCCCCTCTCTCTGTCCCTCTCCCTCTCTCTTTCTCTCTCCGTTCCCCTCTCGTC